ACAGCTACTTTCTCTTAATTCAATGAGAAGAAAGATTTGTACTAATAGTGTTTGGACAGGATATCATGTCTGAATCTTGTACTATGAATAACTACTACGAAGACAACAATATGCAATGCATTAATTATTGTACCTGTCCTACTAACTTGTTTTGAAACTGTCTCATTGCTATTTGTTTCTCAATAAAATTCATAAAAATAAAAAATAAAAAGAAAGAAAGAACATCAAATATGTTCTGGAATGCACAGTGACACAGTGCTCACAAAGTGTAACCAAAACCCGTGGTCACTGCTTACATTTAAAACAAAAATATATATGCAATAAAGGACACATTGTGAAGAATCCCCTCAGGGTCTTCCCCTTCGCATCAGTCATACTCAACCCATGATCCCTGCTGCCTTCTGCAGCAGCTTCAGAGTCCTCATTCCCCAAGATCCTTAGGTGCACTGTCCTGGCTGCCTAGAGGTCCTGAATGGATTTAAAACATTTTCCCTCTCCTGGTCATTGTGACTTCAGGGAAAAGCCAGAAGTCACACAGTGCCAGATGCTCTGAATAAGGTAGATGAGGACAGAGTACCATGTCTTTAAAAGCCTGCCTTTCCGCTGGACAGCACTTGGTGGCAGCAGTCACTGTATTTTTTTAACCTCACCTAGTAAAGACACTCAGGAAAGAGGACTCCAGAACTGATGCAGAAAGCAACAACAATGGAATAAGTAGTATGTTCGAAGTGGTGGGGCTGAGAGACAACAGTGGCAATGCCTTTTTATTGTACTACAAGCCAGCTACAAAGACCACTAAGGCATGGAGCTTTTCACTAGAGCACAATCTATCTCACATACACATGTACTCAAGCATACTTCAAGCATTTCCACAATGTACTGAAAAAATCATGGGTGTTTTCCTCAGTATTAGCTACTGCTTTGGGGACTTTCTCCAGGTTCAGTAACATGTGGCAGGTATACTGTCTGCCTAGTTCGCTGCTCATGGTAACACCTACCATGAACGTTATCACCCCTCATACCGAGAGCCGAGTTTTCATAGCCTTGCAACTAGTCAACACAGCCCACCAAAGGGTGTGACAGTTTTAGCAACTTGGCTGAGTGGCTTCCTCACTAGCTGCGCTCTGTCTAGCTCAGTAAATCAAACTGAGACCTGAACTCCACACAGCAGTGATGGAGGCAAGCCTGGTGCTCTGTCTCCCAATGTCTTGAACAGTGCAAGCCACTAATAATCAGGTAAATGAAGTGAATTTGGAGAACAGGATTCCAACATATACACACAGTGTGTACACCGTGTACCCATGTAGTCCTAAGAGACCCGAGCTGCTGTGGCCTAGGTTTTATCACCCTAAAATTAAACAACACACATAACTACCTCACGGGGTATTTCCAAAAATTAATGAATATGTGTGAAGTATACTTGGAACATAAAAGTCGCTCACTAATGTTAGTTATTATTACTGCTGCTGAGCACAGACACAAATGCTGGTGGAGTCCAGGATCTAAGAGGAAGGTGTCTCTGTGCCAGTGCTAGTAGTGTCAGACTCTCCAGGAAATACTGTTTTCATCCCCAAATAAAGACATGGCTGCCACTGTCCACACAGCACAGGTGGCAGAACAAGACTATAACCCCCATGACATGCTACTATTACTTTCTTCTCTTCAGTGTGTCATTAACAAATTACCCTTTATTAAACCAAAGGAATGGGTATTGGGAAAAAAAGGGGAATGAATGGAGATGGTGGGTGGAAGTACAGAGAAGAATCAGAGGAGAATGGGAAAAGGAATAAAGAAGAAAATGCAGGGAGAATGAGAAGGTAGCTTAAGGTCACCCCAGTCCTACAGTCATTTAGAAAACATGATCCCATACAACAACACAGATGACAGCACAGCCGAGGCCTGTGAATATACACAGCCCAGTTCCTGCAAGCACTTCTACACAGCTCTTCTTAGTGTCTCGTAGGCAGACGAGAAAACTGTGTGGTCCAGAGTAGCAGTGTATAGGAACGACATGTGGAATAACTAAAATATTCAAAAACCACTCACTTGGGCATTAAGAGAGTTTCACACAAACAACAGAACACACATTACAGGGAAAGCACACACTAAATATACACCTCCCAGGAGACAGACACACAGGAAATCCTTCTTATGTGCCACTTCTCGTCTTCTACTAATTATAATGACAGCTTACTTCATGCCACTGCTCTTCATCTGATGTGACCACACGAGCTGAGCACAACAGTGAAGGACCTGGCTCATGAACACACTCGCATCAAGAGACTCCACCAGCACGCCAGCGAAGACAGAGGTGGCTGACATCTAAACCACACCTCTGGCTAGAACAATACACCAAGCACACGGCATCACTCAGAACAGGAACTTCGAGGCAACAGACCAGGCTAGACAGCTGCCAAAACATGCACCCCAGCTTCCTGGAAACAACCTCACTCAGGACCTTCCCCAGAGCTCCAGCAGAGCCCCAAAAGATTGCCATCTAAGGTTCAACAGCTGATCCACAGACATTACTGGCAAAAATGTTAAGTGAGGATCATAGAAAATCAATTTTAAAAGTCACTAACATATGAGAGACCAAAAGAAATTTCTATATTGAATCACTCCTTGAAAAACAAAAATCACTTTGAATTACAAGGTGTGACCAAAATACATGGTGCAGATTAAAATTTTAGAACTTAATCACAGTAAAAGATATCTTGTAATTAATTATCCTCAAAATGTTCTCCTTTGCTTACAATGCACATGTACCATCATTCTTGCCACTTTCTTAAACACTCTGGAAGTTACCTTTTGTGAACATCTTTCCAAGGTGTGATAAAAAATACAGTGAACGCTGCCGCTGAACACCATTCAATGGAACAACAAGATCATAAATACATTACTAAAGATCTATGTCTCTGCTTCTTGTTATCTTCTTTATCCAGACTCTGGGTTTCTCATATATGAGAAGCTATGTGATATTTAATCGTGGATGTTTGGTCTATTTCACTTAACATGGTCTCAAGGTGCATCCATTTTCTACAAATGACTCAAGTTCACTTTTCTTTATGGCAGAGTAGCACTTCACTGTGCATAAATATGTCTTTCTTTAACCAGTCATCTGCTGACAGGCACATGGGCCACTTGAACATTTTGCTATTGTGAGGCATGAGACATGAGCACCTATGGGATGCTGCGATATCATGACTGGAGATGGAGGGAGGAGAAAAGGGGAATGCAAATAATTGATATATTATGTATATGCACCTACTCCTCAAAACAAATGGAACTGGTAGGTACTACAAACATAGACTAACAAGCGCAGATAGATACATACATACATAGTGTTATGGTTTGTGTCTAGATGGCTCCTCAAAGCCTCATGCAGTCACGGGGTGGGCTTGTAGAGTTTGTGACTGATTCACAGTCCAATGCTGGGATTAAGGCCATGAGTAATACACTATACCTGCCCTAGGACATATAATAGAAGGGACACAAAGAAGCTTCTGTGTCTCTGTCTCTCTCTGCTCACTTGTTGCTTTTTCTGTGTTTTGCTGCCATGAACTGTTTCCCTCTGCCATGCTGCCCCGCCTGGGAGCAGGCCAGTTATAAAGTGAAACCTCTATAAACTGTAAACCTCTATAAACCTTTCTACTTTTAACTTTGGGTGTTGGGTATTTTGTCTCAGCAATGAGAAAAGTAACTAAGACACACAGCAGCAACAACATACATACACAAAGCTATGTCTCATCCACCTCATTTACTGGATCTGGAATTGTCTGATTTCTAGCTCATTCTCAAAATCACAGTGACCATGAAAGGGAGACGTTCTGAATTGATTCAGGACACTGAGGCAGCCAGGACAGTACATAAGATCCGCTGGAAAGAGGACTCCAGAGCTGCTGCAGAAATGGCAAGGACGAGGGGAGAGGACTTTAGGGATATTCATGGCAATGTGTCTTCTATTGTAGTAAAATTTTTTTAGAATTTAAACAATCATCATATTTTTCAATCATGATGTGTATAAAAAGCTAAAATGCAGATACACTTATATACACATAAGGCCAAAGTTGTGATGATTTATTTTAATAAGAGATAAAGGTAGACCAAAAGTGACCCTGTGTTTTATACTTCTGTGACTAAAAAGTACAATGAAATCAGTGTTTGATGTGGAAGCTCCGAATAACAGAAATCATTTTTGATAACTGATCATCATGATTTTTAATAAAACCAAGACTAAATACTGCATGAACAATACAATTGAATAGAATTTTCTAGTGATTTAATATTCACCTTACATATACTTGCTTAAAGATGCTACACGTAAGTTACTAACAATAGAATGCTAAGCAGAAAACCAACCTTGCAAAGGCAGGATCTTCACCCCAAACTCTTCAAGACATCCAAGGGCCTGGATGAGGTCAAGCTCCTCTTGAATGGCAGTGGGCCTATCTGCTATCAGCTGTAAGCAGCACCTGGGGAAAGAAGGTAACTATTTAAAAGCAGCAGCAGCAACAGCAACAGCACAAGAGTCAATGCACATTTCTCTGACCTTTAGTAGTTACCCCTCCTGCTTTTCTTATCTCACCCAATCCTCAGCCAGGCAAGCACCAGCATCAGCTTCTGTAGGAAGTCAAATGGAAGCTCCAGGAAGAGGAGCAATTTGACTCTGGTTACAGTGACACTGCATGGCAAGGTCAGAACTCAGCATAGTGTTTATACCAAGAGTGGAAAGGTGGTGACTACATTAGAAACCATTCCTTTAAAAAGATACAATTCAGATTGCTTTCCAAGAAAAACAGGAATGTCATGATTCTGTCTCAGTTTGGTCTCTGGAAGAAACAAAGCAATGGCTTAAGAGCTACACAGGGGGGCCAGGGAGATAACTCAGTGGAATAAGCGCTTCCCTGGCAAGCGCAAGGGCCTGAGTTCAATCCCCGGTTCCACCAAAAAAAAAAAAAAAAAAAAAAGAGCTACACAGGGTCATCCTGGGGGGGAAAGGAAGTATCAGCACTGGGATGAGCCTCAATTGATAGAGGTTGCCTGCGGGAAGAACACGTGATACCTGAGAAGTGCTTTAACCATTTTTTTTTTAATTCAAAAGAAAGTATGGTGAATAGAATTTTATTGAAATTATGTATTTTCTGAAAAGTAGAAGAGCCCTGGAGAGACTAGGAAGAAAGCATAGGGCAGCAAGGGCTAGGGAACATGGAGCTCAGGGTCACTGGAGGGAGACCCGAGGAATCAGAAACATATGGAGGCACCTGTGAGACATGGCCTAGTGGCTTTTCCAGACGAGGGGCCAATTAAATCAGTTTAGTGCCCATGTCTACACTGCTGACTCAAGAACTAAAGCCCTAAGGACAGGAGAAATAGCTCAACAGTCTAAGCGCCTGCCTGGCAAGTGCAAGGACCCAGGTTCAATCCCTGGTACCACAAGCTATGCCAGTCCCAGAACCTGGATACACCATGCCTGTCACCAAAACTGGGTGTGGTAGCACACACCTGTAATCCTAGCACTAGAGAAGCTGAGATAAGTGGATCACTACAAGTCCAAGCTGCTTAGTGAGACCCTGTGCCAAATAAATAAATTTTTTAAAAACTGAAGCTCTCAAAATTTCTACTACAGATAGGCTCCTTCACGCTCATAGACATACTATGACAGATGCCCAGATATTTTTTTAAATGAAAGAAAATACGTCAAATTGGCAACTAATAAAATAAATTCAAAAAACTAAATTGGCAACTCATTAAATCAATTCTATGAAGTTAGAAAAGGGAATATCCCACAACTGTCAGAAATGAATGAGAAAAGTCTGAAGTTGTATACAGAAAAACAACTAGAACACTTGGGAAAAGCAAGGTATAAGAAAGCAGGTATAAGCAGTGAGAAATTACTTCTCAGTTAAAAAAAGAACAGGACAACATTTAACAAAATGTTTTGAAAGGACATGCAAGAAATTGATTCTAGAATAATCTGAGGAGTAAAGTTAGGGGAACTAGAAGGATTGAATTGTATGGTGTTGGGCATAACTGAAACCATAGAGATGGACATGGTGGGGCTCAGATGACACACAGCCAGCGCTACCGCACACACAGCAGGTGACTCCACAGGACAGTGATGTCGGGGTGGGGTGGGGGGGTGGGGTTTGCAGAGGTGTGAACAACCTGAGAAATGCCTACCAGAAAGACTGAGGTCATGCACAGCTCCCCACCTCAAAGGCATGTCCATCTGATGTTTTTATCATTTGAAATAAAAGCAGAATCCCTTCAGAGAAAAAAAAAAAAAAAGACTTGCAAACTATTTGAAACCACTTTGGCAGATTCTGTCACGGGGTCTGAAATAACGTGATGTTTGTAGGTAGGACATCAGGGGGATAAAAGGCTGCTTTCACTGTTTCAAGGGTTGACAAAACTAATACCATCTGGGGGAAAGAATTCACTTGGCTGCCACAACTATTATCAAAATAAGTTCCAAATGGGCCTACTGTTTAGCTGTGAAAAAGATCAGCGTGAGCCTGCATAACTATGGACACTTAGAACCTGATCACATCTTCTTTCCATGTTACTAAGGGTGGGCTCACAGAACCACCCACCAAAAGCAGGTGAATATGTGAATTGGGAATGGACTCCTGGCCCCTAAAGGGGCTGCTGAGCTCTGCCACCGAGTCAGGCCTGTGAACGGTGTTGCTGCTCTTCCCAGGGCACACACACAGCCCATACAGCAGACACAAGTCCTTTCCACAGGAGGTCAGTGCAAGGCCTCAGGAGAGCTCTTCAGAAAGGCTCTCCCTGCAGTGATGAAGTCGGCAAGGAGCATGGCGCCACTCCTGGGGGAGGCCCACCTGGCCAGGTCCATGCAGCTGTCCATGAGGCTGGTGGAGGAGTTGAAGTACTCCTTGCTGGCAGTCAAAACCAGGTGCACGCTCTTCTCATAGCCCAGCTGGTGCTGCAGCCTCCCTTTCTGGGCCACGCTGGCCACAGGGTCTGCTGAACTGGCCCGACAGTGCATCAGCTGCCCAGCCAACTGGATGTTCTCCAGGCGACTGGAGCAGAGCAGGCTCTCAGTAAATATCTGGAGAGAGGAAAACAGAATGAGGGGGAGGAGGAAGCCTTGGATGTCAGCAGAGTGAGGGCTCTGAAATGCACCCCCCAAGAGGCAGGGGCTCCTGCCACCGCTCGCTTTGTATTGTGTACCTTTCACCTTAATAAAAAAGTCACTGTAGGAAAGTGAGAGAATAATCTTACTGGATAAACTACAGCACATTATCTAAGGAGTTAAATGAACACTTGAGTCAAGTCTCTGCAATTCATATTCCGTGAACACTGGGTCTGTTGTACACATTGTCCCACCTTCCACAGGGCTTATCTGCTGAAATGCTAAGCACTCAGTTCTTTAAAAATCCTTCAGTCTGATCCATGCAGTTTACAAGTGTGTAAAAGCATCTGAATTCAATCTTATAAACCAAACAGCTAAACAACAGATGTTACATGTGCTTCTAGTCACTGAAGCTGTAATGTCCCCTCTAACACCCAGTGTTTCCCCAATCTGCTTGTTGAAAATTATTCCAGTAAAAACGAGGGACATAGAAGTAAGACATTCATGAAAATATCATACTCTACTTGACAAGAAACAGGATCCACTAATATAAAATTACAGGGGTAAGGGGGAATTAGAGACTGAACCAGGGCTCCACTACAAACTGCCCTCTCGGCCCTTTTTATGTTGAGACCAGGTCATGCCAAGTCACCCAATTGGGCTCAAATTTTCATTCCTCCCCCATAAATCCTTCTAGCACTGGGATTATAGGCCTATGCTACCACACTCCATACAAAATTAATTCTTCAATTGACAATATTTATGTACATACTCTCAAAAAAAAAAATTAAACAATGTGAGCCTCTCAAGCCAACACTACTAGTGTTATCAATAATTAGTACAAGAACTTCATGAATGCTTTCCCTGTTAGTCCACATGCCAACCAGGATAGTATAGAAAGAGAAGAAATGAAAAATGAAATTTTAGGGAAAAGCAAAAGTTTCCTTTTAATTAAGATGACCATCCAATTCTCACAAGACTGCTTTATCATCACTGCTTTAGGATTTCTAGACAAGCCTTCATTGAGCTACCTGATAAGCAATCACACAGTATTTAAGCGATCCACTGTGAAGCAGATGCTGTAACAGAAAGCAAATTACCAAGTAACAACCTGACCCACATCTGTAACAGAAGAGGGTGGCACAAGAGTGGCCTCCACCACAGCTCCTCCGCATAACTCTTCTTATTCAAGTAAGCCATGAAGACCAAGACCACTGCTGAGTAACAATCTACCAGCATGAACCTAACACTCTCCTGCCAACATGAACAACACAGATTCTGTCCTACAAGATATATCTAACATTTTTAGTTATGGCCCTGAGCTTATAAATTATTTTCCAAGGACACAAATCCAAAAGGCAGTAAGATAATATAACAGTTATAAAAGACAAAATAGGCAGCAAAAAACTCTGTATCTGCTGAATCTATATGACTGTCTTCCACAATCTTTGCAAACTATCTGGCTTTCAGGTGTATTCTTCAACAACAAGGACTTATGGACAGACATCATTAACGTATCAACCCTAAAAATAGGGTACTAAAATAATTTTTATGCAGTGTGTCCAGTGATTTAGAAAAACACAAGAGGCAGTTCAAGTGTAACATACATTCTGCCAACTTTTCTATCAGAATCAAGATTATAGTCAAAATCAAGAAAGCATCAAAGTAATGCAATTCCAATATTTTTTAAAAAAGGCTTCCATGTATGAGAGACAACTAAGTGTAAAATTACTGGTAGCTGAATGTGGTCTGAGACTAATCCTCGCTATGAACAATACAATTATTCAAGCATTTAAAAACCTACTATTCAAATATAAACCATTCATTTCTCAACAGCCTCTACTATTGTTCTTTGATTGAAGTCACCTATAATTTTAAAACTAAACAATTACACAAAATAGAGAACCACCTTCACAACAATACGATTTTGTGCCTGGCTTCTTTGACAAGAAAATTCAAATAGTAAATCTCCTTTAGATTATATTCATTAAAAACGAGTTAGCCAAATCATTTCCCCGGAGAAACCGTAAGTAATTTATTGGTAATACACATGCCTTACAAAATAATGAGTAGACTGCGGGACACAAAGGACCTGTCACATGACCAACATTTCTACAGTGCCCTCCAAATTCTCTTTGTGTGTTTACTGGGGCTCACAGATAGACAGAGACAGGACAAGACAGGACAACACCTACCTAGAAGCTTGCTGTCACAGAGCAGGAACACATGAGGAAAACCACAGGAAGCTAGGGAGAAGCAAACTCCAGGAAGACTATGGTGCCCAAGGGTATGAGCAGCTGAGTTTTGAAAACTCTTCAGGACTTTCAAGTAGGGGAGAAGGAGATAATGTAGGCTGAGTCTCAGGAGCTGAGAGGATGGGGCAGTGGGGGTCAAGGTGGGCAGATGGGCAGCAGGCATGGAGTGGCGAGGGTGTGGCAGCACTGTCTATGCCAAGCAAGAAGACCAGCACTTTCCCCTACTGACTAGGTACAAAGAACTGCTCTAGGAGAGCAGCGCATAAAACATTTTGCTTTAGAGGAAAACATTGTGAATGGGAAGCTACATGGACACAAGAAAGCAAATAGAAGACTGGTGCATGATTTAGCAGAGACGAAAAGAGAAGCAATAGATTTGGAAGACTTTTCTTGGTACAAGTCTTCCAAAGCTAAGCTGCCTGATGAAAGATATTCCTGTGACCACCAACAGAGTGGAAGGGAAAGGAGCCAGGATCTGCTCACTGATGGTCACCCACTAAATCCATGCTGCTGCAATGAACAAAGGGGGGAGGTAGAAGGAAGGCCTGGAAGCATCCCCAATTCAGAGCTCAGCCCTAAGCCCAAAGTTACCTCATAACAAGTGTCGGCGTCCAAACACGAGTACACGTTCCGCTGCATGGACAGCATGTCCTGCAGCAACGCCCTCCAGTGCGACTCGCCCACGGGAGGCTGCCTGTGGAGAAAGGACAGCTCAGGAAACAGCTGGAGCATTGCAGCTTAGCAGCCCAGGGATCAATGAGGATAGCTCTCCTCAATTCTTAGGAAAAAGCTTGGACTAAGAGGAGGAGAAATGGGGCAGCTTGAATCACGGATAGTGTTACGATCAAGCCAGTCTGGCACTGGCCACCTGGACACAGCACTAGAAGAGCATCACACACTCAAGTGGCCAAGCGAAGGTGAGTGTCCATACAGAACACAGCACTGTGAGCCTGCGCAGTGACAAGGCCCAAAAAGTACTTCTCTGCCCACTCCAACTCCACCGCACAGGGCAAGGCAGGACAGGGCAGGACACACAGGAGTCTTAGACCTCAGCAGAACCACAGGCCACACTGCCTTGATCTGAAAGGGAGCAACCGCGGCTAGCCAGCCAGCAGGATGACCAAAGAGCACTCCTGATCGCAGTCCCAGCTAGACTCTCAGCAACTCACAGTGTGACTCACTGAGTGCCCCCACAGCCATCTGCTTCCAGTGACAACCTAGGAACAGTGTAGGTGGGGACACTACCCCACCTGGCTTAGGAGGACGCCTCCCGTGTCTCTTTCGTGGTAAGCCCACAGGTGCGGATTCTGAGGCCCCTCAGTGACATGCCCCAGACCACATACCAGCAAAGTCAAGCCTTCTCCCTGCAGCACTCGGAGCTCATTCTCAGCCCCTCAGTCACAGGCGAGTGAGGCCCTGGGCCTCTGAAAGCCATTTGTGTTGCTCTGCACAGATAAAGAGCATGGAATGTGCAGTGAGACTCCCCAGAAGCCAGGCCTAGTGGCAGACACCTATAATCCCAGGCCTCCAGAGTGCTGAGGCAGGAGGATGGCAAGTTCAAGCCCAGCCTGGGTAACTTAGTGAATTGGTGTGAGCCCATCTCAAAATAAAAAGTGGGGTGTAGGTCAACATACAGCCCCTGATTTCAAACCCAGTACTACAAAGAAAGAAAGACGGGGGGAGCAAGGTTTTGCTAACAATTTACAGTCTAGTGATGTGATTGTAGATTAAACTTTACTTTTAAATTTTTTTAAATTTACTATTCCTGTATTAATACTCCTTTCTCAGGGACACCTCAGGAAGGGGTGGGTGAAACAAAGGCATTACAGGAAGATTCTCCTAAACAAAAACTCAGCTGAATTACCTATTTGGGTTGAGATAAAACTTCTGAGTTTTATACTTAATACATCCCAATTTTTCTGGGACATATTAAATATCCGACATGTGAGTCTGGGTACAAACGTGCTGTGTGCTTCCTGAGCCTTTCCTCACACTGTGAGGAAGGCTGTCCAGGTGCAGCGCCCAGCTTCCTACTTCCCTGTATCCCCATGGGAGGCTTAGGCCAGCCTGTCTCGCAGATCCCCTCCACCTCCTGTGTCCTCTCCATCTCCCTGTTGTCCTGATTCTGTAGAACCACCAACCTCACTCAGTGCTTGAGTGAGGAGATTGTTTTGTGTTTGGCATCTACCAACTAAATGGTGTTTCTTTTACATGAATGTTTCTTTCTTTTGCCTTATGAGATACTTTTATAACATTACTATTTCAAATTTCTGTGCATTAAAAAGTCATAGCCTGTGTGTCTATAATAATTTATTACTAGGGTCAGGGAGAGAGCTCAGTGGCATATGCACCTGCCTGGCAAGCACAAGGTCCTGAGTTCGATCCCCAGCACCATAAAAAGTTATTGCAATGGAAAAAGTATGTATTGGGGTAATTCCTATGAAAAACATAGGTAGTCCTATTTTGTTTTGTTTTGTTTCATTGGTACTGAGGATAGAACTCAGAACCTTGCACTTGCCAAGCAGGTACTTATGACACTGAGCTATCTCCCCGGCCCAAAAAACACTGTTTTAAGGATTTTTTTTTCCCTCATAATTTTTTTTTTATTGGGGCTGGGGAAATGGCTCAGTGGAATAAGTGCTTACCTGGCAAGTGCAAGGGCCTGAGTTCAATCCCCAGTTCCACAAAATAAATAAATAAATAAATAAATAAATAAATAAATAAATAGATTTTAGTGTCTTGTGTGACTATGAGACTTTCATAATGTGTTCTTATGTCTGCTCTTGCCTACCTTTTGGGTCAGACCTGGCACAGTTAAATGCAGTTATCATCTCATTAAATGCAAATGAAGAGAAAATATCTTGGTGCTGCAACAGTTTACCTTTTTGTATGTTTTACGACTATGTTATTTTCCAAAGCTGTTCCTACCTCACCATGAGGCTTTATGGATTGTTATATATTATAAATGTTCTATATGAGACAGACTACTATTGTTTCTTCTCGTTCATTAAAAGCTAAGAAGAAAAATAAACCAGATTTAATACTCCCCAAAAAAATAATGTCTTTGTTTATTAGTTTGGATTTGGAAACAACGTCTTACTATGTTGCCCAAGCCAGCATTAAACTCTCAAGCTCAAGAGATCCTCCTGACTCAGCCTGCTAAGTAACTGGAACTGCGAGGACAGGCCACCAGGCCCAGCTTCTCCTGAAGATTTAAACAAGCTTATACTTCATCTGCCTGCAGCATTTTATATTACACGAAATAGCATATGCAATAAGACATAAGAGAAAAATGATTTTTCAACATACAAAAGTATAAAACACAATATATCTGTGAGTATCCCAGAATAATTCACAGAATGTTTCCCCTAGTGTGACCCTGGTTCTTAAAATCTTTGGGGGGCCCCTTCAGATGGGACGTGCACGCAGAGGAGCCACAGCAAGCCTGCCAAAGCAGGAGCCTGCCCCACAGCAGCTGATGGAGTCAGAGCTGGTGCTGGCTTGCTAAACGCAAGTCAGAGCTGGCACCAGCTTGCTGAGTGTAAGTCAGAGTGGGGCGCCGGCTTGCTGAGCATAAGGCTCTCCACACAGCTGCTCTTCTGGAAGCCATGACGCAGGGACAGATGGCGGTAATGTTTGCGCACATGGCTGGCCCTGAGTGGAGGTTCTAATTAAAATAAATTATAATACATTATTTATAATGGCCCTTTTCAGAACACGCTCCATAAATAAGAACCAAGAGCAGGATTTGAAGAAATTAAACAAGGGGCTCAGACTGCATGGAGAGATTCCTGGCCATAAACAGTGTTAGACGCAGCTTTGGAAGAGAACTGAGTGACAGGGAGAAGCACTACTATACTCACAATGGTAAAACCAGAATGTGTGACCCATTCAAGCAAGCAGAAGGTTAGAGCCTCTAAGGCCAAGCCACGAACACACACAATTAGTGCTCACTTCAAGCTGGTTGCTTCGAAGACAGGCTACACTCTCAACACTTTTCATGTAAGGGATCCTGAGCAGTAGGAATGAACTCGGGGATAACAAGGAATGGAATGGAAGGGTGCGGGGGAGCCAGCAGCACCAGCAGCCTCTCTGCTGGGGACAGCTGCAATCTCTCGCAGAAACACAACCAGCACACTGACTGCAGAGAAGCCTGAAATTGTGGTGCCCTACGCATCACTCCCATAGGGACAGCATGGCGCTGTTGAGTGGATGTCCCAACAGAGCATATGAGGGCTGTGACCCTGCACTGGGGACGTAAGGCTCCTATGTCATTAACCATGCAGACAGCTGGGGGATGGGCAGGCCTGGGAGAGAGGGACAGGGAGCTCACAAACCTCAGGGAGAAATCAAGCAGGCTCTCCTGGAAGATGGGAGTCTAGGTGTAGCCACTGCACCTGCCCCCTGGGTTTGCAACTGCCTGCCCTGACACTAGGAGGTCAGAACACACTGGCTTGTTCACTGACCACTGCAAGTGTACCTACTTACCTTGAAATACCCTTCAAATTGTTGCCAGTTTTTCTATAAAATAATCAGTTAGTGCCTCAAAATTCATTGATAGTAATCCCTACAAAATTCTGGATGGCAACACTTGACAGGCCAACCTTAAAGTTTATCTGGTCATGGGCAGCCCTATAATTAGCGAAACAAATATGACAATAAGAAACAAAGTCAAGAGTCTAATATTACCTAATTTCAAGACATATGATATACCTACAATAAACAAATACAGTATGCTATAGAAAGACAAATAAATTAATGGAGCAGAATAAAAATTCAAAAGTAGGCTCTCACATATATGGACAATTGATTTTCAAACAAGGTTACAAAGGTAATTCAGTAGTGAGAGGACAAGAAACGGTGTGGGAATATTCAGATAGAAGAAAAACTTTTAATCCGTATTTTGAGCAATAAACAAAAATAAACTCTCCAAGTGGATTAAGAATCTAATTATAAGTAGAATACTAAAAGTTTTGCTAGACAAAATAAACTTAGAGGCAACATTTTAAAAGAACTAAAAAGAATTTGATTTTTTAAGTACAATTTTGAAACACAAAGGTCAGAGACAAAAAATGGAAGGAATAACACAAAGCACATACATGGAGCAAGGAACACGGACAGTGATCATACAAGAAAACTCACAACTCAGTAAGAATGCAACCAGCTTGGGCTTTTAGAATAGACAAAGCAGGAGCCAGGGAAATGGCTCAGTAGAACAAGCGCTTGCCTGGCAAGTGCAAGGGCCTGAGTTCAATCCTTGGCTCCGCAAAAAAAAAAAAAAAAAAAAAAAATAGGATGGACAAAGCATAGGCACATGTAGATTAGCTTAGGAAAGGGAGCTTCCACATTGTTACAGAAATACAATTAATGCTAAAACTGGATATCACTACTTACGTGTTACAATCACTACCCTTAAAAGACTAGCCACACCTGAGTATAGATGAGGACGGACAGCAACTGAAACTCTCCTGGTTACTAAGAGAAACAGGACAGATAGCTTGGAAAGCAGTGGGCTGATTCTGTTGCTGTTGTTACTTAAGCACTACAGGTCTCCACCACTCCACTTCAGTGTTTTATGCAAGAGAAATGTAAGTGTAACCCATGCAGAAACTTGTACACATAAATGTCAAAGTCTAAAACAGCCCAAGTGTCCTTAAACACAGGTGAGTGGATATATGCAGTAAGATAAACCTGTATATTATTCAGCAAAAAGGACTAACAAGGTACTGATTCATGATATGACACAGATGAAAATAATTACATGGAGTATAAGAAGCCAAGCAAAACAACAACATTCACTCACACCAATCTAGTTGCTGTGAAGCAGTACATGAAGGGAAAGGGAGGAGACCAACAGGGGCCTGCTAGGAGGCTGGGCGGATGACAAGCAGGAGTGGGGGAAGCTTATAAAGAAGCAAGAGGGACATCGAGGGCAGTGACACCCTGTGCAGGCCTGCACATGACCAGCAGAACGTATCGAACTGAACCCTTAATATATGCACAGCTGATCCTCCCCAGCTAGAATTCTCCCAAGCTGTCTGAACAGAAACACCTGCACAGAGCTGTGACACAAAGGCGGCTGTGCCCCCTCATGAACTCACTTTCGGCCTGTGTGCCTGGCCAGCCTCACCATCAGCTTGCGTGCCTCTTCTGCGTCGCAATGTGTGTCTTTAACAAAAGAAATTGGCTTCTCGAGACCATGCTTCTCCAAAAGCTCTGACACACTGGAAGCAGAAGAAGAACTGGTAAAAATCTTGCCACCAAACAGAAGCAGTCAAAGAAGCTGAAGCAAATATGTGATACCTTGGTCTTTAGTATTTAAGATAAGTATAATATAATGCAACATAATTTTAAGAATGCGTTACATTAATTCTCACTAACAACAGAGCTCATAACTATGTAGCAAATCTTATTTTTCCCTACTAGCTTTATTTTTAACTCTTAAAGTACTTTTTATTCTTAGTACATATCTGCCATACATACGATGACATTCATAAGGAATTTATAACTGTACATAGTACATCTTAATTCTTTTTCTCCCTGCTTTCATACCTCCCCTCCCCCTTTACAAAAATCTGTGTCCATTTTTTCTTTTTTTCATACATACTTGGACTAAATAGCATATTTTTAAAGGATGATCTCAAAGTATTTGTCTGTCTCAAAGTATTTTTTCATCAACGCCCTCTGTTCTCAAAGCACCTAGTTGGCAAGCTCAATGCCCAGCTTTACCTTCTAACAATCGTATGTCACCATGCAGACAAGGCTGTAGGGCTGCTGGAAAAGCAAGTAGCAGTCTCAACAGTGAAGAGGCAGCCTGCTGCTCAACTGGCTCCTCAGCCCAGGAACAGATTACAAAACTACAGCATGTCATGGGCCGGTATTGGGACCTCCCACCCATGGCCTCCAGATCACACATCACTGCCCATGACAGAGTGAGTGATCAGACTCGTAATCTGGCCAAAACACGTTTCTCAAGTAAGACCATCTGATGGTGTGTGCGCACAAGAAAATATGTGCCAGCTGGGTGTGGCTGTGAGGGAGAAATGAAGAAAAGCTCTTTTTGGTTTGGTTTGGTTTTGTTGGGGGGGGGCAATAGGTGATTATTTTGGGTTTTTTGTGACAGGGTCTTATTATGTAACTCAAGATCACCTTGAACTCACTTTGTAGCCCAAGCTGGCCTCAAATTCACAGTGATGCTCCCAAGTGCTGGAATTCTAGGTGTGCCCACCATGCCAGCTAAAGCTCTTATTTTAAAATGTGAGCACACTGTGTTGAACAGTGACCACCAACTGCAGGACACCACTGTCTCACTGAGGTACAGACATAACCATCAGGACCTGGTTACACAGATGTAGTGAAGCAAATCACACCTGCATTTCCTGGGGTCTCCTTGAGACCTCCGGGTCCCATGATGGAAACAGAGGACTTGAAAATCCGTGCACAAGGACTTGTGCTGCCTCAACCATTAAGTACCAGTCAGGTAACCCTGGGCAGCTCACACAAGCAACCTGGGTTCCTACAGGTCTTAAACATGCCTGTGCCATGTCATAGCAGAGGATATTGAAAATCGGGCTAGGAATAAACAGAAGTCCTGAGGAAACCGAACAGTGCATTCCCCACACTCACATCTTATGACACACAAAAATATACTATAGAAATGATCCCTAGAAGTGTAGCCTTGACACACAGAAATATTCAGCTCCCTTAAATGCAACTTAAAATGTTTCCATACCTTCATTTGAGCAGGTAAAATTTCATTGATTACTGGACTCCAGATCGCACTGCACTATATACCTAAATGAACTAAAGTGATGGCCATGCATAATTTCTATAATATATACATATTAAAAGAACAGAGTTTATAATTTTAATTATTTTATTTATGATATTTAAAAATAATATACTTGTATGTCTAAAATAGCTAAAGGAAATTACTAGGTTTCCTAAATGGTCAATGAGGAATATTTCAGTCTGCCAGACAGTGAGCTCAAAGTTTTATAACAAGGAAGAACATCACTATAGTTACAGGCAGGTTCTGCAGTTTGGAGCGTCTAAATAGTTGATAAATATACTGTTCCCAAAACAGTTAAGAGTAGAACACACAGTGCTTCCTGCTACTTGTAGCAACTGCTACACAAGTTTATTTTTCCTACCAGGGACTAAAATGCTGACTAATATACATCTGTGATGGCCTAAGTTAGCTGTCACGGCAAAACCCTGGCCTCAAAGGTCACCCCACCAGGAAATGGTGAATTCAGAGCGAACAGAGGCTATGAGTGTTGAGCCCACGCTCTTCCCATTACCAACCCACTGCAGTGAGGTGGAAGGACAGTCATGCAGACTGGGGTCCGACAAAGCGTAGGGTCGTGGGAACAACAGTGACTGACAGAGTCCCTCATGCTCCTCAGAGTCGCTACAGGGCCCCTGCCCTCACCTGAGAATCTGCTCCAGCTGGTCCACCATGTCATGAAGAGTTGAGGTTACCTGTGTCTTCTGACTAAACAATAAAGAAAGAGAAAAACCAGCCGTTACTGGTCAAATGATCAGTCTGCCCTGGGCTAGTTCTAGAAAATTAAAAATAGTTTTAATAAAATACAAAACTCCATTAAGTGGAAAAATGATTTTTTTCTGATGCCTCACACATAATACCACCACACTCTACAGAAGGGTGTCAGGCTCATCTGAGTTCATTCAGTTTTCATGTGCAACAGACCAAAATGAAAGGGCCTGGGCAAAACATTCCCTAGTGCATAGTAACAGCAGTGTTTTCTGAGATGCTCTGGTTGGACTGAGGCAAAAAAGACTTCTAAATCAGCTGCCCTTTTTCCTTTTTCAGAAGTAGTAAAAGGCAAGCCCACGATTTATCCTTGCTCCCCTAGGTCTGGCTGCCCCACTGCAAGCCCCCTGTGCTACCCAGAGGTGGCAGACACACAGTACAGGCAGTGCTCCCCCACAGACCACGTGAAGCGCATCTCTTTCAACTGTGAGGAATCAGGGAGGAGCAAGACATCAGAGAGGTCATGGCTGCAAGGCCTTGACACAAAAAGTAAAGCCACAGGAGGATGCCAGACATGACAGACTAAACCAATATCATGAAAAGGACACAAAAAAGAACATCCCTGGGGTGCAGTGTGGCCAGGACACTGCAGTAAACAGGGTTATTGCAAAAACTGCAGCAATGATAGGCAGCCACTTCCAACCCTCGCCACAGAGGAACATGTGTGCCTGGCTCTGGGCAGCTTCTAAATCTCAGTCTTGCTGAAGTCCAGAAAGGCTGGAGGTCTGTTAACAAGCAGCCCAAGTAAAACTCCACACCTAGACCTGGGCATTTGTTACTGATGTAAACACAGAGCCTTGTTACTGGTCAAATGATCAGTCTGCCCTGGGCTAGTTCTAGAAGATACCACAAGCAGCTCAGACAGACCACACTGGCTTTTTATCCAGGTTTCAGGCTGTGAACTACAGGGATAAGAGGGCAGAATCTATGAACGGCTTCCACGGGGCACTGGTCAGCCTGAATTGACATTAACAACTCACTCAGCAGTCAGATTTTTAAAATCATCATTCTGTAGATTCATCATAGACACAAAAGAATACAATGTACTTCCTTTGTAGCAACTGCAATCACCAATGTATGGCTACATACTTTTTCAGCCTGATGGCATATGCTGCCCAGGAACTTAACTAAGATATATCAATGACTGTCCTTCTGCAGGCCTCACTGAGTTAACTTAGTAATAAGAGCAGGCTCTCACCGTTGCATGAAGCACTGTGCTCCCTCCAGGCCACTAAGGAAGAGCCTGCTGCCTGCTCTGGCTTGTGGGTGCTGCCAGGGCAGAGGCCTGTATGCAGCTGCCTGTGGACAGCATGAGGCTTTTCCACTGAGGGTGATAACTCTGCTACACAACCACATGATGAGCTCCCTTTTTCTGCCCCATGCTGCCTACCTAAGGCCTCTGTTCTCAGAGCCTCGCTGGCCTGTGGCAGGGCCAGCCTGGATTGGCTGCACCTTCACAGTAACAAAGAGATGCTGAGTTTGCAGTGATTCTCCTCCCACATTGGTTCCCAAGCCAGACTGCAGGCAGGAGTACTTGGCACAATCACATACTCCGTCCAGCTTTGCCTTTAATGAGACCCATGTTTTCATCCTGGTTTTTTTTTTTTTTTTTAATTTAAAAAGTGATAGGAGTATAAATAGAAAAGGGAATAGATTTCCATAAAAGAAAGTCAACAGTGATATGAAATTGAAAAATGAACAAGTAACAACATAAGCATATTATTATATAGGAGGTAGGCAAAGATGAAAAATTATCAAAGAATATGCTTTTATGAAGATAGGTCTCTAAGGATAGAGAAAATTGGCAACTGCCTAGTATCTATGATAAATCTTACAGTTGCCTGACTTCAATTATGTTCATATGTCCTATTTTATAATTAGAAAGGAATTAAGTCCCTTTGGACTCTTTTGTTTTACAATTACATCTTTCCAACAATTTCTTTTTCTAAATGTCACTAACTTTTTATAGCTAAAAGATCAATTGAGTTATAAAATATCTTGCATTCTGGATTTGTTGTTTCCTTCATGGTGTTAAGAAATGTGTTCTTCTATTCCCTGTAATAACTAGAAGTTTAGCCTATACATTAGTCAGATTCAGGTGAACAATTTCAGAATGACTGCTCCAGAAAGGATGCTGCAAAACCAGTAACTTTTAGGGCCTACCAGATAGCTCAGTGGATTAAAGCACCTGCTTTGGCAGACGCAGGGACCAGGGTTCCATCCCCGAAGTGCCATACTGACCCTGCCCCTGGGGCACGCTGAGACAGCAATTGAGACTGGGCATGCTTGTGCGTGCCTGTAATCCCAGTGCTTGAGAGGCTGAAAACAGGAGGATCACTACGAGTCCAATCTGTGTAGTAAGATCCTGTAGACCCTGTACTAAATACATTAAAAAAAAAAAAAAAACCCCAGCAACTTCTTTCTACTTCACATTAGGGCACACAAAGTCAGGTGGTGGAGCATGAGTAATGCCACTTTCATTAGCTAGGATAATGGCTGTCAGACCTCAATTCACTAGTCAATTTCACCTTTAATTGTCTTTTTACCTTTATAGTTACAAACAAAAAATGAGTTGCTAAAATAGTATTATGTTAATAGGAAAAAAATAATCTTTAACTATAAATCTTTCACCTGATTTCAGTACTAGTAAAATGACTGCATAAACAATTATTCCACAGTGATTATAAAATTGGTGATTGCTTTAATCTGTTTCATTAAAAAAACTATTTTCTTGAAAAAAGACAAAGTGATGAGAACAAAGGAAAAGAGAAAGCAGAATAGGAAGGTTTCTTGTCTAAATATTTTTTTGCAAATGAAATTGATAAGCAGAGCAGTTAAACAAGTTGGCTAAAGTCACAAAGGTGGGGCTGGAGAGATGGCTCAGTGGTCTAAGGCACCTACTTAAAACAAGCTTGGCAAAGCATCAGGGACCGC